GGACACGTGGTTGTTGCCTTCTTCTGCCTCTGAGAGACAAAACGAGGCCCACGCAGAACAAATCTGCTAAGGCTGGTGGTCCTGCAGCCCCAGGTAACAGGATGATGAGCCTCTTTCCATAATCAGGAGGTCAGCCCTGGGTGAGGGCACAGCACAGTCTCCTGTGGGCTGGGATTTACAGGAGCTGTAAGGCAATATGTACTTCATGGAGCAGAAGCCCTGCTCTGAAGTGGGTTCGAATCCTTGTCTACCACCTACTAGCTTTGTTAATATGGACAGTGTATTCACCTCCCTGAGCCTCGGTTTCCTCATCTGTAAAGTGGAGCTGATACTAGAAGCCCTTGCTGTGGCTGTTACCAGGATCCAATGGGATGAGGCATGTAAGGTCCTCAGCATGGGATCTAGCTCATGGTAAGCAGTCACTGTACCAGTCACTGTTGCTGTTCTCACACGGTCTCAGGGAGCTTGGAGAGCCCTTGGCTGAGGGGCCCTTGGCTCTTTGCCACCCTCTGGTGGCGTGGAGGCAGCTGGGAGATGTTACCTTAAAAGTAAGAAAATCGCTTTGGGTTTTGTTGTTTTCTTGATGACCTCCAAGAATGTCTATTCAACTGTTCAAAAAAGCGAGGACGAAAAAATATCCTAAGGGCTCTAAAAGAGTACAACGTCTTCCCTGTGTGGGAGGATAAGCAGAAAAGCTGTGGTGGGAGGATAAGCAGAAAAGCTGTGGTGGGCTTCCTTGCCCATGAGGCTGGGGAGGCCCCAGCCACGGTTCCCTGGCAGGACAGACGGGAGGTGATGACGAAGGAGAGCAAGAGAGATACAGGAAATGAGAGTGAGGTTGGAGCTGGGGCTGGTTTCCCTGGACATTCTCCTGGGGCACGGCTGGTGTTCCTGAGGCCCCTCTGAATTCCCTCAGCATTCTTCACTTGTCCGCCCTCAGCGCTCTCTGTCCTTGTTGGCCTGTCGCATTGCGTGTGGACACGAGAGCCACGGGCCGCATCAGAGCCAGGATGGAATCAGTACTTCCTATTGTTGCTTGAGAATAACTTGCAACTTGCCATGAACCCTCCCAGGACTGACAGAGGTCTTGGTCTGGGGACACTTGCTGCAAGACTAGGGGTGTTGTCCCTAGAGCCTGTGTGTGGCCCTCTAGCATGGTGCTTAGACTAACAGGCAATTTCAGGCAGCGTCTTTGTTTCCCTTATAGACCGAGTTTCTGGAGGGGCCGTCCCCAGCATCCTGCTCAGTGTGCAACACATAGCATGATCTTCGTAATGAAGCAGTGGCTGGCGGATGAGTGATTGCGCTCTGCGCTTGACATAAGGACAGCACCTCAAGCCTCTGTTCCCCATGGTGCTCAGCACAGGGCTTTGCACGTAGTAGTAGCTGAGTGAATGAGTGCAGAAAGTGTGTTCTTAGGGAGCTCCTTCAGATGAAGATTAATTCATGTGTTTGAGTACCTTATAAGTACTAGGATAGGGTCTGGGAGGTCTTTATAAAGAAACATAAGACATAGTCCCTGGCTTCTAAGAACACATCTTGTTAGATGTTCAAGTTGAAATACAACTGTTAAATTGCAGTACAAGTCACATAATGACTCAGGGCCAAAATGGGCCCAACAGACAGGTGTTTGAGTTGGTACCCGTGGTATAGGACTGGCTCCATGGGCTTGTGACATGTGAGTTGCACAGAACCCTGTGCTGGGAAGGGCTCTGTGCTGGGGTTTAATGCTCTCTTGTTGCCATCTTGAAATTCTTAACAATTTCGAATGGGGGGCCTTGCATCTTTATTTTGCACCAGGCCTTGGAATTATGTTGCTGGTCCTGACCCCAGGTCTGAGGAGACCAGGAAAAGTTCTGTGGCAGAGAGGGCATCTGAGGAGGGTTTGGCTAAGCAGAAACGATAGCTGCAGAGCTGGGCTGGAGCTCTCCAGGATGTGGCTGTCCTGCTGTCAAGGTTGGTGCCGCACTGCGGACCTGCCCAGGATGTGCTTGTCAACAGTGGGGGGTCAGGGGTATGGCGTTTGGATCCTGAAGCATGCTTATCTGTGAGGAGGGAGTGGTTCTGGAGGTGGGGTCTGCATGGGCCTGGTCAGCCCCGTGTGCAGAGGCATGTGCACACCCCCCAGGGAGGCCCGGGAGAGCCACTTGGATAGGCAGCCTGGCCTTGCTCTGCTGCACCAGTTACTGTCCTTTCTGGAATGTGGTGGGTGGACACCTCATAGGGCTGCTGGGAAGCCCAGAGGAGAAAAAGGACAGGAAGCAGTTCTGTAGGTGGGAAAAAGGGCATTCTTCCCGGGGGCTGAGCACAGTTCCTGGCGCTAGAGGGCCCTCATTTGGTGTTTGGTGATGTGTTGGGGCTGAGAGTCCACTCTTAGCGGTCCAGCTAATACCTGTCTGTTGGATGATGGAGTCCAAGTCATCCACAGAAGCATACCCTGGCCTTTGTTCTCCAGGGACACACAGTCTCTTTAGGGGACGAGACATTTACACACAAAGTCTCCACTCCTCCTGCTCTCTGACAGATTGGGGCTTGAAGTCCAGCTCTCCCTCCACTGACTGTCGGTGCCTCCTGAACACGCTGCTTAACTTGTCTGGGCACCTACAACACAGCCGTGTAGGCGGGTGGAGATGCAGCATGCGGGGCAGGCGCCTAGGTCAGTGCTGGCGCACTGTGAGGAGACGTTCTTACTGTTATTAAGAATCTAGTCTGTGGTTTGGAAGGTCAGAGAACGGAGGGGACACATGGGCCAGCAGGGCTGGAGGAGGAAGTGCTGGTACCAGAGCCACAGGTTGGCTAGAGGAGAGCCCCAAGCAAGGGTGAAGAGGGGTTTGTGGCGTGTTTAGAGTGAGTGGAAGGGGTGAAAGTGAAGCCAGCAGATGGAGCTGTCTCTGGGTTGGCGGGACTGGGAGTGGGGAGTGTGGGGGTCTGGGGACAGAAGTGGTGACAGTGACGCTCTTTCAGCTGACTTCCTTACAGTGGCCTCTCCCTCCTGAGGCCCACTGGTGCCAATCTAGGACCAGGCAGGGTTCAGGGCTCCCGGGAGAGGGGCCTAGCCTCTGCTGTCCCCCACCCCACTGTGCGTCCTCCTACTGGGCTCTCCTCCTGCTCTGATCTGTCTGTTGGTGTTTGGGCTTCCCTGTCCGGGCTCTCTCCTTTCTCCAGAATGAAGGGAAAGGCGAGACCAACTCCAGCCGTTCACAGTCGCCCTGGCCCAGTGTGGTCTCAGCCCACCCCTCCTGCTCCCCTCAGCAGAAAGGCTGTCAGACTCAGTGACTGCAGCTGTGTGATGAGTGGCCTCAGGCAACTTTCTTAACCTCTCTGGTCCTCAGTTTCCTCAGGAGTACATTTGATGTCACTCAGCACTGCCAGGAGGTGAGGCTGTGATGGAAATGGTCTGCAGCAGCACCCTGGGGCGGGGTGTCCCCTCAAGCATTGGCAGAGCCAGCTGTGACATCAGGAAACATGTTGCCTTGGGTAGTCCTGCAGAGTGCAAGGGACCCAGGTGGGCACAGAGGGCCTGTGTCAGAGCCTGGCTGACGTGGATATGGTGAGACATGGTGCTATGGGCAGTTTGTGCAAAGTGGCCTCTCTTGTGAATATGGAAGGGGCTCATGTTTACCAAGTGCTCACCATACCCTGGTGTCCTGAGGGCATTATGTGGATTGCCTCCTTCAGTCCTCAGAAGCACCACGAGGTGTCATTCATCAGTTCCGTCTTGCAGAAGCAGACATGGAGCCTCAGCAACTCCCTGGTAGTGGCTCCCAGACAGCCTGGCTCCAGAGCCTCACAGCCTCTTGGTGGGCACTTCTCGCTCCTCCCTGCGTCCCCCTGGAATCATGGGGCCCTGGGCGAAGGGCATCTTGACTGGTCCCCCATCTACTATCTTCTCTAAATGGGGACCCAAGTGGGCATCGACCTGGCTCTTCTGATGAACCTGCCCCAGGTGTGGGAGTCGGGAAGAAGCATTAGCCTGCAGACCTGGCTTCTGTCTTGGGGACTGTAACGACGTTCCATAGAAGTGACAGCGTTGACAGGTATTTGGGAAATGCCAGTTTTCCTTCCTAATACATTTGTCCCTGTTTATCCAGGACGTGGTCAACATTTGAGTGTCATCCTGGCTTAACTAAATAGAAAAAAAAGTCAGTAGCCAGAATTTTCATACATTTCAAATATATTTTATTCCTTTTCTTTTCATCTTAGAAAGAATATGAAACCTGCATGCATCGCTAATGGTTTCCGACATTTACATAGCATATGACACAGCAGTGCCGAGCGGCGTGTACTGAAGGGGCAGCGTGTGGAGGGGGCGTCATGAGAGTATATTTACAAAGAAGGGGGCGGTGGTCATCTCTGCTTTCAGAGGACGGCTGCCCTGTTCATCCTGGAGAGGGATGTGGGAATCACAGATAGATCGCTTGAGGACTGCATGTTCCATTGAGATGAGGGGAAGAAATGCGCTTTGAAGGCTCTCCCTCGTCAAGAGAATGTGTGTCTGTAGCTGTATGTTGTGCATGGATTCATACATTTTTAAGTTTTCTCCTAAGGTTTTCGCTAACAGTGTCGGGAGCTTCACTTGCTTCCAGAGCGTTGAATACTGAAGCTGTGAACCTTTCACAAACCCTCAGGTTGGAGAGAAGACCCAACCCCTTCCTTAAGGACCCTGTGCTTCGCCATCCCTGGACCTTGGAGATGTTTCCTAGAGCGGGTAAAAATTAACCAGGGGTGGAGCACTTTTCTCTGGCAGCCAAACTCGAGTTCCTCAGAGAACAGATGCAGAGCGATCTGCTCCTCCTTGCCCAGCGACAGGGGCGGCTGCCGAGTTTCCCCGAGCCTGTGGTGACCCTGAGCCCAGGAGAGCCCGTGGCAGCTGTGCCGAGGCGCCAGGACCGCGGAGCGGAAGCTTCCCGCGCTAGGAACGGAGCAGCGCTGCTATGAAATGTCTCAACCAAGCTCCCTGTTCCTCCCAGGCGGTTATAAAGCTCAGATGTACAATGATGTCTGGACAAATACAAAAAACATTTTTTTTTTAATAAAGGAAAGGCATGAGTTTTCCCCCTTTTCGGTAAAAAGCAGCCTGTGATGAAGCCTGGAGCGCAAGAGAGACGGGTCTCACATCTGGAAGCCTTTTGCACACAGCTATAAAATGTAAAAACTGACCCTTGGTAAAAAGTGCTTTGTAACAATATATAATTTGTGTCTTATGCCTGCGAGAAAGAAAGGGTTTGTTTTTTTTTTTATCTGCGAAGTCCTTTGCTCATCTCCCAACTGGTGCGAAGTCTTCCCATCAGGGACTTTTCACCCTATTCTTCGTAGACTCTGGGAAGAGAAAAGACTTGAGTAAGTGGTTCGGGACATGACTCAGGCAATGCACGGGCCGGTGGCTAAGCTGCTTCATTCTTGTCTTCAGGAGTGCCCCCTCCCAGGACTGCAGGGGCCCACAGACGTGGGGGGGATATCTCAGAGGATGACGCCACATGGACCACAAAAGCCCTCCCAAATCTGGATATGTGCTTTCTAAACAGCTTCTATCTCTGCAATCTCATTTTATCCTCAAAGCCTTATGAAAAAAAACCCCTCTTTGTATGTGAGGAAACTGAGGCACAAGAGACTTAAGATTTGCCCAAGGAACACTGAATGTCAGTGGTGGGAACGAGGTCTGTCAGCAGCACGGGGGTGGGAGGAGTGGGAGAGGAGAGGCATCCCCTCCCTCAACTTAGGCTTGAATCTTTCTTTGTATTTTGCCCAAAGAATGAATGTCCTCCAGAAAAACACCAGTTCTAGAAGCTGCTACCTGAAGACTGAAGGGTGGTTAGTGGGGCTGGGACTGTCACCGAGGCCGTGCCTCGAGCTCACTTCTTCGTTGTTGGCAGGCCTGTGTGCATTCACAAGCTCACCGTTCCCTTCACCTCCCAAATCATCTCGATTTAGGGACTTCAGTCCCTTCTCTCTTGCCCCATGGCTGCCCTAGGGCCACACTTCACACTCAGACTCCCCATTGGTCCCTCTGCCTCATTCCTGATTTCTGAGTAAGACATCTAATTATGCATTGAAATCAAATGACTGATGCTGCTGCTTCTGGTGGCAGCCAGACACTCTGGGCTCTGCGATGCTCAGAGTCTCTGGACTGGCCCCCACGGGCCTGGGCCAGCCCATTGCCTTCTCCTTCTTCTACCCTTGGTCAGCTTTCTCTCCCTCTCTCTGCAAAGAGGACTTCAAGATAGCTCCTTTATCTCCATTCTGCATTCACAGAAACATTTTCTACCTTTTACGGGGGTAGGAGAGGTGAGGAGGGCAAGGGATTGCCCCTTTCTCTTGCGGAACACCTCAGCATTCCAAGAAAGAGGGATGAACTCATTTTGTAATGAAGTGATGGGAGGCCTGGTAGCAGAGGTGCCCTCTTTATTGGAGTTTGCAGAAATAAAAAGCAGGCTGCAGGGCCCATGCCCGCCTCCTCTTTATTGAAGCAGCGGCCAATGTTATGGGAGGCGGGGGAGGAGGGCAGAGTACACCAAAGGCCTGAGTCTCTCCCAGCAGTCGATGAGGGTGTTTTCAACCTCGCCATGAACTGCTTCGGGGTTAGCCTCGTCCCACTTTTGATGACGCAGGGCCTGGAGGGTGACGGACAGTGGATGGGACAGCTCCGGCTTTTACCATGTGAGCTGCCTGCCCTGACCAGAGAGAGGGCTTCATTCCCATCAGGTTTATAGAAAATAATCTCTCTCTCTCATCACTTTCTATTTCAAGCAAGTGCAGACAAGGCAGTTCTGGAGGCAGCACAAACGGCTCAGGTACGGGGGTTGGGCCGGCCCAAGTGTCAGCTGAGGGAGAGCTGGTCACGTCGGACCCCGGGAGATCAGAGCTGGGAAGCCATCTTCGGCCAATGGGGAAACAAAGCCCAGAGAGGGCAAGGGTCTGGTTCAGGGTCTGGTTATCTGCCCACTGCTGCTCCCTGTGGTTAAGAGTGGCTCCGACTTTTAAGGGTTGAACCCACGGTCCCTCCCTGCACCTGCATGAGAAGGAGTTTATCAGGTGTCTGGGCAGCAGGGGGCATGGGCACCCTGAGGGGAGAGTATGTTGTTCACCTTGTGGTCGTAGCCACAGTTTTATATTAATAAATCCAGTTACTTAAGTGGTCATCTTTTGCCCCACAAGAATCACAGAGAGAGCCATGCCAGGTGCTTGCCCAGCCATTTGACAGAGGGAAACTGAGGGTCAAAGAACTTGTTACTTAAATAAGAAGAGGAATTAAGACTATAACATAGAAGTTAGAATGAGACAGACTTTAGTTCATAAAAGAGTAAATTGTTGATGCTTACAACTGTCCAACAGAGCAATAGCCTGCTTTGTTAAGTGGTGAGTTCCTCATCCCTAGGGGTATGTAAGCAGTGTCTGGGGATTTGCTTACTGTGGCTACTGTGGGGGATGTTCACCCACTGGATAGGGCTAGATGGCCTAGAAGGGGTCTAGGATCTGGATCTGGTGGGAAGGTGGGAAGGAAGGTGAAAAGAGGCAGGGCATACCTGCGCTTCTCGTTCCAGGCGTTGTACCACTTGATGAAGCGCTTGGTGCTCTGCAGCTTGGGGTGCAGGCAGTGCTCCTGACCCCGGTACCGGGACACACTCTTGGTGGTGATGCTAAAATGGAACGGGATAGGGAGGAGGATTGAGGACCCCGAATGAGAGTCCCTCAGTGTGGCCCGTGGGTGGCCCTGGGTGTTTCCCAGTCAGGGCACTGAAAGACTGTGGCCTCTTCCCTCTTTTCAAGGGAGCCTACCCATGTGCTCACTCCCCGGCTGGCTCTTCGGAAGGTTCCCTTAAATCTCTGGTTCCATGTTAGGGTCTAACCCCGTATGGAGTGATCGGCTCTCACTTCTCCCCCCGGGGCCCTTGGAGTCTTGGATAGTTCCCCACCCCCATCCCCACCCCCACGCAGGGTGTTGTCTACAGGGCTCATGCCTCCCTTGGAGAACAAAGGTCAGAGGATGTTTCCAGCTCCTCTGAACCTGGCCTTGAGAGGCAGAGAGAGACACAACCAGCAAGGCGTGCATGCCAAGACCTCTTTCCTTGGATCTGAGGAGCTCCACGGCAGGCTTGGACATGCTCGGCACATGCTATGGTTTTGTCTGACCCTTTAAGCCGCAGTTCCCGCAGATCCTCTGCACATGGTCCTGGGGCTGGGTATTTGTGATCCTGAAGCTGAATCTTGTTGGCCTCGAAGCCCATTTTGATTCCTGAGCATGAAGGGGAGGAAAATAAGACCTCCCTTCTAGCTTCTCCCAGCCAGTGTTCCAACACTCAGTGGAGGCCTTGCCATGGGGTAGAGAAGCAGTGGCTTCGTACAGAGTGTAGGGCCTGGGTTTGAATCCCAGGTCTGTCTGTGGGATCTTGGGTAACCTCTCTGAATCAGTTTGCCTATCTGTAAAATGGGTATAATAATAGGATCTGCCTTTTAAAGTTACTGAGATGATTAGAGGATGTAATCTATGCAAAGTGCCTAGCGCCTAGTAGATGCACAGTGAAGAGTTACTGTTATTCATAGCTGTCATGGAAGATGAGATGGCCAAGGAGGAAGAGAAGCCATAGTGCAAGCTCCAGCCAGGACGGAGAGGCAAGACTGCTGCCCGGAACTGCTAGGCCGCTCTCCACCAGGGGTGGGCCAGGGTGGCAAGACTGAGGAGGAAGCTTCTGGGTAGGGGAGGAAGGATGATGTTCAAGAATGAAGGACCACCTAGTGGACAAGGAAGGTGAAGGCAAGAGGTGTGGATGTCACTTCCTGAGAGGTCGCAGCAAGAACACGGTATGGAGGAGGACTAGGCTGCTGGGGAATGGGGGAGGGCAAAGAGGGGAGGTTGGAAGTTGGAGAGGGAAGAGCAGGGAGGGAGAGAGAGGGGTCAGCTAGCTCCTGCAGGCTCCTAAAGGTAAAGTGTCAGGGTGCATGGGCCAAGTTCCAGAAGGGAACAGGGTCTCCATGAACTCTGAGTCTCCCAATTGACGGGGAGAGAAAATCGAATCTTGCCACCAGAGTGGGGGCAGAATGTTTCAGGGCAACCTGTTCTCGTCCCTTCCTTGTGCTCTGAATTTCCAGGGCCCCCAGCATGGCCTAAGCTTCCCGGGGCAGGCACCGGTCTTCTGCTAATGCCAAGTGCTGGGCCCTGATGTTGCTGGCCCTGTCTGTGAGACCTGGTGCTCCCTGTGTCCTGTCCCTCCCTCTAGGTCTTGAGCAGGTGGCAGGCTCCAGAGGGCTGTGTAGTTGTTCCCCTCCCCCAGAGCACCTAGTCACTGTGCAGGAAGTTAGCCCGTGCATTGCTCTTTCTGCCTACAGAAATGCTGCTTTTGCACTTGGAATGAAAGGACATGCAAAGGCTGATAAAAATCCCCTTCCCAGTTAAGTCAGTGTGCAGGCTGAGGTCGGGGCAGCAGGAGAAGGACGCTCAGCCCTCCCACCACAGTGCTCAAACGCTCCGGCCAAATACTGGGACTGTGGAAACTGGTTGTGAGGTGAAGACATGAGGATTTCTGTCCCCAGCAGTTACTCAGAAATTCTGGGTCCCGCATCCCTCTCCTCAGCAGTTCTGGGTGCTGAAGGTTTTGGCAAGAGCTCGGCAGACATACGACACAAATTGCCCTTTTTAGAATCTGGACTCTCCCAGGCCCTCTAGTTGCAAGGACACCCACCTGCAAAGCAGACTGCCTCCCCCAGCCTCATCAGAGATTTTGGGGTGATTCTGAGCGAGCTAGAAAACTTGCTTTTGTTTAGCCTTTGTGGCTGAAAACCTGCTTTGGAAAAAAGTGCTGGCCCCTCCTCTGCTCTAGAGAGTCTCAGGAACTGGAGAGGGGAGAGGACCCATAGCCCTTCAGGGACGGGATGGGGGCTCTGGGTGTGGGGTGGAGGTTTTCGAGAGGGTGTGCAGATCTCATGAGGCCCCTGCAAGTTCTCACAAGGCAGCATAAAGCCTTCTCGCATAATTGCCCGGCTGTCAGTTTCCTCTCTATTCTGAAAAGTTTAGCCAAGAAAAAGAGCAAGCCTGTTTACTGAGGATTCTGTCCTTCGGAGATGTCCCTGCACTGCATACGCTACTTCTCTCCTGCAGGGTCTCAGCAACCAGCCTGTGTGTGCAGCATTTTTCAGCACTTAGAGGAGTGCAGACTTGACTTGCAAGTCCTGGTCATTTTTGGCCCCCAAGCTGGGAGCCAGGAGGGGCTTGTAGCTCCTCTCCCAGCTCGTGTGACCCCTGGCCCCCATCAAAAAAGATTTTCTGGCAGTTTTTCTGGACTTGGTCTGCAAGGCAAAGGGGCAGGGATGGGAGGTTAATTTAGGTGCCCAGGAAGGGAGGCAGTGGGGTTCAGCTCAGGCCGGCTGGCTTTGCGAATTCCCCTAACTTCAGCCGACTGTGCAGCCCCCAGGTGGCAGTGGGGGTTGGGGGCTGCCCCCACGGACTACGTGGAGGCTTTTGGGCCAGCAGGTCCAGCAGGCTGAAGGCGCTTGCCCAGACTGTGAATAAAGTGTGTCCTGTTTTGGGAGGAGGGGAAGAGGGGCAATGGTCTGTGGCAGAAATTTGGTAGCTGCTTTGCCAAGGGCTCCCTTCCTGGCCAAGAGCCTATTGATGGGGAAACAGTGGTGCTGGCCTCAAGTGGTTAATTGGGAGACAGAGGACCAAGGAAACTCAGTGTTCTCTCACTCTGCCCCAGTTTTAAAAATATTCCCTGCATCCCCACCAAGCCGGGCTCCAGCCGCGTGGCAGTTAACCCCAGCAGAGCACTTTCCACAGCGCTGCTCAGGCTCAGGGCCCCGCAGGCGTCCAGCTGGTGACGGAAGAGCCAGGTTCATTCTCAAAATGAAATCACTAGAAGCCAAAAACTGGCTGCCCATAGTGCCCTGAATGGAAAAAGGATCTGAACAGCGGGGTTGAGGACTTGAGACGATGTTTGCTCCATCCTCTCTCCCGTAACAGGAAGGCAGCCTGCCTCCCAGTTTGGGCGAGAGTTCAGGAGTTCTGGGTGTGTTGTGAGTGATTTCAATCTGGGTGTTCTAAATCGGTTCATGGGAGCCACTTAACCCTGATTGCCCTAGAAAGGTGGGCAGTGCAAACACCAAGGCTACCCATTTGAAACCCAGCGAGGGGGAACTCCTCCGAGAGGCTGTTTCCGGAGCGCGGGACAGTCACCCTCTCTCTTTCCAAACTCTCTTCCAGACTGTCGCGCCAGCGTCCTAAGGACTCTGTGGGCAATTACAAAAGGCTTCGCCAGGGCCTTGCCTAAGGCAGCGAGAAATGTTCATTAGCCCGACCCAGCCCCCTGCTGTGCCCCAGCACCGGGTTAAAAGCAGCGCGCACACGCTCGCAGCGAGGAGCAAGAACTCACATAACCATCTTCTCCTCGCAGTGCGGGTACTTTGGCTTCATTTCCAGCTTCTTCACGTCGCTGTAGCGGATCTTGGGCCCCTTCCGGGAACACTTGCATTTGGACCCTGCAAGAGAGCCCGCGGGGGGCCGCTCAGTTGCGCGCGGGGTCTCCTGCCCCTCGACCGCCCTCGGTGCCCACCCAGAACCCCCGAGGGCCCAGGAAGCCTAGCAGTTGGCGCTTGGGTTCTCCAGGACGGGACAGGACGGCGACAAGGGACCTCCCGGGGCACTCACCGTCCACGCGCGCGGCGCACAGCGCCAGGAGCAGCAGGAGCAGCGCGGCCGTCAGGAGCCTCATGCTGGCCGGAGGGGCCCGGCGCGAGAGCAGGGACTCGGGGAGGGCGTCCCGCCCGTCCGTGCAGCGGCCGGAGACGCCGCCGGGTCGCCTCTCTCTGCCCGTAGCGCGCCTCCCGGCTCGACTGGCTCCCGCTGCCCCCGTCGGTGGGTGCCTCGGGGCTGTCGCTGTGCGCTGCGCTCTGCGTTCGGCTCCGCGCTCTCTGCACAGCCTCCCTCCGCCTGCCCAGGCCTCTTTTAAATCCGCTCCTGCCCTCGCGGCAGCGAGCTCATTAATATGCAGAACCACTCGGTGACTCACTAAGATTTCTCAACGCGGTGGGAGGAGGAGACCGTCCCCGCCCGCCCGCCGCCTGCCCCAGGACCGATTGCAGCAGCGCACACTCGGAGTCACGCGCGCACACGCACACTCACACATCCGCTACCATCTCGCTCCCTCACACGGTCTCCTTCACGCACTTGCACACCCAGACTCCAGCACGCGCACACATCCAATGCCCCCTGCTCCACCGGACAATACGGAGGCAGCATTGCTTTTCTCATTCGCGTGATTCCCTCTGGCCAGACAGGCCTGCTGTTCTGAGGCGCTGGGAGACCCAGGCCCGTGGCCCAGATCCTCTGAGAAGACCTGAAAGAGTTTTGGGGCAGGTGCCAGGTGTCAGTGCCAGCAGGCCTGACTCCTAGAGTGTGAGCAGACCCTGTTGGGCCAGCAGCCCTGGTGGCCAGAGCACAAGGCCAGGTCCGGAGGGAGGTTACCATAGGTTGTACAGCAGCAAAGCCATGGCCTGTGGTCACTGGAGCTGGCTCAAAGAGTGGGTGTAGGGGGAGGTTTGGTCACTCTGAGAGGAAGTCTTCCTAAAGTGAGTATGTGGCTTGGCGGCTGTTGGAGCTGTCTAGGGGGTGGGGAGAACCAGGTGGGGGTTCCTCACTGCCACACCATTCTCCAGAGCTGGGCAGGGGCCCAGTAGGGAGATGTGACAGCGATAAGCATCTGGATGAAGGCCATGTTCCAGACGTTGTGCCAGGCTCGTGGTGTAGTGGTATGGGCCCAGGCATGGTGACAGAGGTTCCTGCCCCACTACTCACCAGTGCAAGTGACTTCATGCTTCGTTTCAGCATCTGTAAAGTGGAGTAGTCGCAGTGCCTGTCATAGGGTGGCTGTGAGAACTACGTAAGATCCTGCACATCAAGTGTTTAACAGAGGGCTTGGCCCAAACTCAGTACCCAGGAAATATTACTTATTGGCATCAGGATGATATATATCTATATTTTATATATGTTGATTCTTACACATCTCCTTCCAAGTTGGTATTTTAACTTCTTTATTCAACAGGCATGGAAACAGGCTCAGAGAAGAAATAACTTGCCCAAGATCACATAACCTGGAAGCAGGTGACTAGGCCAGGAGGGGCCCTGGGATGTGTGGCTGCAGGACTGGGGCTTCTGTCCCTGGGCCACTTGGCCTCGCTCTGGCCTGTCTGCCCTTCACTTCTTGGTAAAGTGCTTCCTTGGTAGACCTGGTGACAGGGGATGGCTCGGAGGGTCTCTGGGCTTGGCTCCCAGGCCAGAGCTGGAGCCAGGGCAGAAGCTGCCAGGCTTTTCCAGCTCACAGCTCTGTGCCATCAGCCAGCAGCTCCCTGGGGGCACAAATGCCCAGAGGGGATCCTGGGGGATGGGATGGGCAGGCTGCTGAGGGGCAGAGTGGGAAGAATGTGTGCTGTCTCTTCCCAGCTGGAGAGCCTTGGCTGCCGGGAGGGGAAGCAGAGCCGTGGAGAGCCAGCAGAGCCCGTGAGCTGGCTTCAGGCATGTCCTGAGTCCTATGCGTACAGTTGTATCTGTACTTAAAGCAAGGCCAACAGTTGGACATTTGGGTTTGTGCAGAAGATGAGTGCAAGGGAGTGATTTTTGGCATTTATGTTAATTTTTTTCATTTAAAGTTATTTTTTCTTAATATAGAAACAGCACAGTTTGTTACACAAAAATCAGAAAACACAAGCAAAAGAAAACATAAAACACACACAATTCCACCTGCTCAGAGATCTATGCCAAGATGCTAACAGTGTTATCTTCCCAAACCCTTCTGTCTTTGCTTGCACACACGTGCACAAATGGGATCAGCATGCGTGTCCTGTTTAGTGACCTGCTTGTTTTTCTTTTCCTGTTTCTATATCATTAACATTGTCCCATGTGACTGGTCTTGCTTCTACAGTGTCTCTTTTAATGGCATCATTTGAGGCCATGTAGTATAATGCCTAAGAGCTTGATATTTGGAGTCAGACGGCCTGGGTATGAATCCTAACTACTAGCTTTGTGGGCAAATGACTTAACTCTTTTAGGTACTGATTTTCTCATCTGTGAGAAGGGGATGATAATGGTACCTACAGCATAGGGAGAATTAAATGAGATGGTGCATGTAAAGCTTTTAATATGGTCCCTAGCAGAGAGTAAGCACTTAATACGTGCTATCGCTGTTTTTGTTTGGGATGCAGCGCGTTCCCTTCTACAAATGTACCACAGTTGCTTTAACTAATTACTCCCTGCTGGAGATTTGGGTTGTTTTCAACCATATGCTCTTACAAGTGATGCTGTGTGACAAATATTCTCGTTGCTCAATTTTGGGGTAGCCCTTCAAAAACTGGATCACGTCTCAGAAATAGAATCATTAAGGCTTTTAACACAAATTGCTTCCCAAAAATATAATACATTTTTAATTTACAAAAGAAATTTCTTAACTACCAAGTTTTTGTAGATCATGTAAAATATGATTTTTTATTAACAAAATTTTACTTCTATCATATTTTTTCAAGAATATGCTGATTAGTTAAGTGGGATCTAATAGTACCAGGGATCACGGGCACTGAGCTTTTATAGGAAAAATTAGTTGATTCTGCAAATATGTGCCAAAGCTTCCCAACTTCCCGGGCCAGAGCAGAGGTCAGACATTTCAGGGTTTTCCCTGTTATACTCCTTAGTCTATGTCTGCTGATCTTTCCCAAATACAGCCATTGTGTCTTTGCAAAGAGAGCTTCACCCCTGTTTGGGAGAGGATGGGGGCCCCTGCTGCCAGTGCGCTGTAGGTGATGCTGCACGACTGGGGGCAGGGCTTGACCCCAACCTGACTTCAGGGTGCACACTCTCTACTGAGCTCAAGTGGGCAGGTGGGGGGTGTCTTTGAGCAAGTGGTGGGGGCAGGGTGTCGGGGACATGGGTGAGGCAGTTCTTTGCACAGTGGTGCTACCTGAATCAAGGGGACCCCTGGGGTGCAGCGAAGGGCAACACACATGCCCTGTCCTCTGATGTGCAGTGTAGGGTGTGCGTGGGTGTATGTGTAGGTGCCCACAGCTATTTGCAGGCATGCTGGGTTCCATGGGAAGAGGAGACGTAAGTGTAGGAGGCACAGAGGGAGGAGGCAGTGGAAGCGGGAAACCATTCCTGAGACCCTGGGGATCTGCTTATTTATTCTTGTTTATCAATGTTCACACTGATTGAGCACCCACTGTGTGCCAGGTGGTGAGCAGAGGCAGATGTGTGCTTGTCCCCAAGGAGTGCCATCTAGTATGGAAGACAGACGTTAATCAAATAACCAGAGATACACATGAAATGACCCCAGAGCTAGGTCTGATGCGGGAAGCGGATGCTATGAGACTAACGAGGGGATCTGGTCGGCGGGGAGGTGGGGATGGTTTCCCAGACGAAGTGCCCACTGGGGTGGAATCTGAAGGATGAGAAGGAGTTAACCAGGTGACAATAGAGGGAGGCCACTCTTGCGCATTTGCAGTCCTTACTCCTCACACAGTGATCTCCTGGGGGTCACCTCCCTACCCTTGATCTCGCCAAGATCAGGACCCCAGTGCCCACAGGGCCCTGCCCTCTTGTGACTGGCATCTACTATTCTCCCCATGGCTGCGCTCCACCACGCTGCCTTGTCTTATTCCTCAGACGTGCAGAACCTGTCCCCATCTCAGGATCTTGTGCTCACTGGCCCCTCTGCCCAAACTCCTCTTCCCCAGGTGTTGGCCCTCTTTTCCTTACTGAAGCCTCAGCTCGAATATTCACTCTTCAGACCCAGTCACGCTAGCAGCCTCCTCCTCCCACTGCCAGCAGTCACTCTCTGTGCTGTCGTCCTATTTTACTTTTTGTCTTGTACGTACAAAGAGCTCACATTGTACTGTTTTCCTGTTTATTTTGGAGTATATTGTGCGTCATCCTCTGGTGAGCCAGTCCAGCGAAGGTCAGGTCTGTGTCTGTCTTGCTCATCCCTAGTACCCAAAGCAGTGCTTGGCACATAGTAGGGCTCCTTCCATATCATTTGAGTAAATAAAATTGTGTTTCAGGCAAAAGCCCAGGGGCGTGAGAGAGCACTGCCCAATTCAGGCCATGTAGACTACAATGTCTTGGGCGAGAAGGTGGATGTGGGGGTGGTGGGTGAGAGTGGCCATTGGTGAGGCTGTATTCCCAGGAAAGCCAGTTTCCCCCTAGGGCATTGGCTTTAGAAAAGGGGTTGCTAGATGGAGGGGGAGGAGGTGAATGAGCCAGAGTGTGGTTTTCCAGGAAGCCCCACTGGTATCTGGGCTGCCTCCCAAGTCTGCTGAGAAGGTGATGTTGACTGGTCAAGGCTGGTTTCCTGCCCTGGGAGCTGGAGACACAGCAGTGCTTCTCCCTACCCCCCCAGTTCTTCCCAGGTCTGACCTTCTCAGAAGGGGAGTCCCTTTTTACTTCCCCGATGGGACGGGCCGACCTAGAATACAGAGCTGGAAGGGGATGAGGCCCTATTCTAGCCCTCATTGTATGGATGCAGAAGCTGAGGCCGAGAAATGGGGTGGGCTTCACACCAGTCCACCTGGCGCATGAATGTCAGTCTGGTCCTGTACCCGGCTGCTTAGACCACAGTGTGATCCTGGGCTCCAGAGACCTGTTGGCCCTGTCACCACCCATTACGTGCGGGCTGCCCCCAAATACCTGCTTCCATTGGATAGTGCAGCCACTGGCTCTGAGTCCAAGCCAGGTGGGTGCCCCTCCTCCCCAGCCCCTCCCTCTCTTGGCGGTCTCCATGCTTCTTTCTGATGGTCACCCCTAACCTGTGGAGCCCCAGGCAGTCAGCTGCCTTCTCTTAGCTGGTTCCTTTAGCACGGTCCTGCATACTGACCCCCTTCCCAGGGCTTTGCTCTGAGGTGGAGGGGGATGCAGGGCCAAGATTCCCCGAGAGTAACTCCTGGTTTTGTTCTTTCCATTTGGAACGTTTAGGGGACCTGAGCAACTAAACTCAGAGGAAATGGCGCTGCAGGTAGCCAGGTGGTGTCAAATTAGGCTCCAGGCAGCCCCGTGGCAGCAGAGGGACTCTGCCACTCAGATGGGTGACTGAGGGCACTGTGGGATTCCCCCAAACACGAGAGAAAATGCTTCAGCAAATATGACAGGCCAACAATTCGCATTTATTCTGCCGTTTATTCATTCAACACCACCTCACTGCAGACAAGCGTCTTTACTATATTAAGACTGCGAGCAAAGCTATTTTCAAAGAAGGCCGTAAGGTGTAAACGAGCAAAGAACATCAAAGGACAATTCAGGGGGACAAAGAAAGAAAAGCAATTATTAACCAACTCGTGAAAGAATGCACATCGTCTTTAGCAGTCAAGGGAAAGCACGCTAATGCTGCAGTATCATGGGGTTTTGTTTTGGTCCTACCCACTAATGGAATGTTTATTTTAAATAGTAATATCTGAGGCTGATGATGGTAAAGTGAGGAAGGGCCACTTAACCATCACTGGGGGGACTAGAAATTCATACAAGATTTTGGGAAATCATATTTATAGTATGTATACAAAGTGTTTGAAATAAACCATTTCACCCCATTAATCCACTTCAGAAAATCGATTTCAATAGTTGATAAGGGGGGAATGCCACATGCAAATATATTCCCTGTTAAAAACAAAGAGTTAACCTAAATGCCCAACCATGGGGGAGTGGTTAAGTAAACAGTGAAAGCTCTATATGAAATATTATACT